AACCTTGGCAAATCCCCTCAGTTTACATGAATATGCCTAGTTATGACTGGAGGCAGCTGAAGAGCAAATGAACTGCTTGTTTTCTGTGTCTGGCCCAGGGGTTGCGGCCTCCAGCAGTTGAGCATCACAGGATGACCCAGCATGAAGCACCACAGCTCATCACCATAAGCACTAAGCTGAGCTCCCCATCTCTGCCCAACCCCTCTTTTGGGGGTGAGGGGGAAGAAATTCGATTTGCATTTTGAGATGTTCTCCCCATTGGGGTTGGCTGAAAATCAGTCAGAGATTCAGAAGTTTTTGGAGACGGGATGTCTCACATGAGCTTTGTTTTCATTGGAAAGCAGACAAAAACCTGCTAATGGGCTTTGCCTTGGGTTTGTAAGGTGTGAGACTGCATGAAGTTCCTGTTCTCCCCAGGAAAAGCAAAACACGTAGTGGCAGAACGCTGCTTCAGAGCTGGGTCATAGGTACCCCAGCCTTTCCAGCTCGTACACATGCAGCTATTGTGTTGCTTAGGGAAGAACGGTTCTTGTGTAAGCCATGACAAATAAAGGGAAACCAATTAAACCAACCTTTTCTTGTGCTTTTCCTCTGAAGTATATCCCAGAGACCCAGCCTCTGCACATACTCATGCTATCCATTCCTAAGTTGGACTTCAGTGGTTGTTCACTTCATTTTTCAACTTGATTCACAACCAGGCAAAGGTTTTGTCTTCTAAGGCTGCACCTCACTGCCAGGCTGGAGCTTAGCTTCAGCCTGGTAGAAGCAGATATCCACACCCTTCATATGCTCAAGTACCCACCATGGTTCTGGTTGTACCTTGCCTGTGTTCATGCTGCATGCTCAGGCCATGGAGAACAAGTTCTAACAAGGGTGACAACCCAGCTCAGGTGCGACACCAGGTGACTTTCACATAGGGCTTTATCCAGTGAGAAAAGCTCATTTGACTTCAGTGACAGACTTACTCCTTTGAAGCTCCCCTGTCTTTTTCCAGGCCTGCTTTTTGATTTGGCTTTTTAAATAAGAACCTTTCGAGTGTACAATAGGTAAAGGCTACTGAAGTGTAGTCCTGCTACTAGAGGGCCTGTTGACTCCTGCTCTTAGGGAGCAGTAGCTCCCACCTCACTCCCCATCTCCTTCTAAGAGTAGCAACAGCCCTTCTCACACCCACCCTGCTGTCATCTGCCTCTCCAGAACCCCAGTGCCACCCAATGAACCACTGGGTGCAGCCCCTGAGGGTTACTGGTGAGGAGCACCTGCTGAAGTTATATTTGCTTAGACTCTGTTCTCGAGAGACTTACTAAGACCTTGCTCAGCTATAGTGATTGACCTCAGCTAACTTCAGCAGGGCTCTCCTGTTGGTACAACTTGCAAGCCTCTCCTCAAGATGTTTTGGATCTTGTTTTGTCTCCTTTGCAAGGATGCTGGTGTCAAATGTTTTCAGTCTTTATTTTCTGTGTGGATGTTCCCTTTTCATTTACTCCAGTGAGATAAACTGGCCCTGATTGCTTTACTGTCTGAACATGACTTTTCTATAGTGCCTCTGGTTTTCTTTGGCCATGTTATTGACACTGGGTAATATAACATGAAAGGAGTGTGGACAGGCTTTTACAAAGAAATCAGCTAAATAGCTATTAGGGGATTAAAAGCAATTCCATGGCCAGGATTACACATCTTTAAAATGCTGATAATATCAAGGAGCAAATGGATTTGTAATTTAATGGCAGAAGAGGGAAGACTTCAGATGTGTGGGGTTTCTTTCACATTTGATACAAAGATTAAAGTGTCTGCATTTGGTGTGCAGGAGTTCAATAGAGCTGTAGCATGGTTGCCTACAGATAGAAGTGTTCACCTTTCTTGTAAACAGTAATTCTGCCACATGGAGAGAATTCCCTGGTCAACATTTTTATTGAAACTTTAATTCTCATGATGACAAGTTGGATCAATGTCTGCTTTCAAAGTCTGATAATGATACACTTTAGAAGCTTTGAAGAAAACCTTTGTCTAGACAGATACAGCTTAAGAAAGCTTTTGAAATGTAGCATTCACTTTAAACTTTTGTTGATGCCTGTAGGAAGCATTGATTCATCTTTGGGAAATCTTGAGCTGTTTTCTACTTCCTTGTGCTAAAAATGTGCAAGAGATTTGCATGACAACAGGAACTGTGAGAAATAGAAAGGTAAAACTTTCCTAAGGAGAGTAGTTCAACCTGTGACAGTCTTTCCCACACAGAATTTTCTCTTCATCCAGAAATCAGTTTTCCTTTAAAATTAAATTAAGCTACACGTGACATTCTAGCTTTTACACCTTCAGTATTAACACTGGATTGGGGGTATTTTAGGGACATCTCCAGAGATGTACAATACATACATAAAAGTAGCCACAGTTTTATTAAATGTAGATTTTCACCCGTCTCCTTGACTTGAAGTCCAGAGGCATTTTCCAGAATATTATTTCACAAAGTCCCGGTTTGGTTCTGACTGCAGAATATTTAGGATCTGCAACAAATAAACCAGTCCTATCTAGATGTGCAGCTGATCAGCCTGCATCTCACAGGCGAAGAGACATCCTACAGCAGTGACAGCCAAGCACAGGCACAGGTTGCGATGCTTGTCACTCAATTAGACTCCCTTTGAGGAAGATCCCGTTTGAGATGAAGCTGAAAAGGGGCAGAGCTGCAGCCTAGTTCATTCCTCTGGATGGCCTAACTAGCTCTAGCGTTTGAAATCTGAGGATTCTGGCTCTTACATATATCTCTGTAGGGACCAAGCCTCCATGACAACCATCTGACCTAAAAAACTATTTGGAGCGTTATCTGATGTGCCCTGCCCAGGAAGTAACGGTCATTCTGGTAATTTTTATGTTGATTCAGTTTGATTTGGCTATGAATTGTCACTATGTGCACATTAACCACTTTTCATCTTCAGAGTGCTTTACAAACAACTATGTTTCACGGAACTTGTCTCAGGTACTCTGAGGAAGTGTATGGTTTTCACAGATAACAAAGATTTAACTTCTGCTCTGACCGAGGAATGCAATTCAGGCTTACTGACAGCGTTACCAGCAGCACCACCGTATTTCTAGAAATCAAAAAACTGACGCAGAGAGAGGTTGAATCTCTGTCAGTGAACACAAAGGAAAAGAAAAAAGACATGAGATAATGGATCCCAACCTTGCTCCCCTCCCCTTTCTTGGATAACAAATACAACATGCACCCAGAAACGAGTGCTTTGGCTCTGGATCTGAATTGTCCAGGTAACTAGACCTCTACTCTTTCAGTCTGGGAAACAGACCCTGCAAAAGTAGCAAGAAAAACAAAATAGACATTAGAAAAGGAAGCTGTTTACCATATACAGAATAAAGAATGAAGCCTGTGGATGCAATGGACACAATAACTAAAAGTACAAATGTTCAGAATGATCTGCTAGAAATCAGCAGGTTTTATACACAATAATTTTTATTAGATGCCCACTGCACAAACCTGCTCCATATCTAGATTTAAAAATCTAGATTAAAATGTTGTTTAATAGGTAGCAGTTCCTATTTACTTCTTATCTAGTTTCTTTCTTCTTTCCTGAAAATTCATTACTCCAGCAAACAGTGCTGTCCCATTTGTTAGCAATTGAAAGTGAAAAAGAACATAGCCAGGAATAATTCAATTTTTTATTTAAATGAAATTTATAGACACATTTTGAGGTATTTCATCAGTATTTGTTCTTATTTATACACGAGTATTTTTTCAGGTGTCGAGTCAGCATGACATGAAGGAAAGACAAAAAGATACAAATCCATTTCACCAACATAGGGCAAAAAAAGCAGAATTTTGAAAAGTCTGTTTGAAAGTGTATGGGTAAGAAGGTGTTTACCCCATATTCAGCATGGGATTTAAGACAGCTAAATGTTATTTAAATCTGGCCTTGGAGAAAGGAACATTTTCAAGCAATTTGGAGACAAATTCTCATTTTAAGTAGACATGGTCCAAATTAAAGGTAGTCCATAGAATTTGAGATACTGATTTTAAAAGGTGTATTCCTTGAAAAAGTATTACAATATTCTAAACAAAAGGAGAAATACCTAGGTTTTCATGCAGAGATGTAAACTGATATATTCAACGTTACCCTTTTTGTACACACTGGTATCTAACCACTACGGGAACATACTTTTAAGCATATTTCTATCAGACCTGCCGAAAAGACACAGTCAAGATTATTTCGTCCACAAACTCAATTTTCAGAAAAGGAGGAAAAAGACTGGCAACATTTTTTCAGTATAATGAGCGGAGCTTTGCTTTTGAAGATGCAGCTTTACACAACTTTGTTTCCTCTTTTTCGTATTGATTAAAATGAAAGTGTCAGATTTTCTTTTCCTGAAAATTGTCCTTCAAATAATCACCAGATAGCCAGTGTCCAATGAACGAGTTGCTTCTTTCACTTTCAAAGATGCCATGCGATAAATTATTTCCCAAATATAGCCTTATTTATATTTTTTAATTGTCTTTTCAGAAACATAAGTATTTCTGTGAGTTTCCTAAAAATTTTAGGGAAAGACATTTTATCTAAATCTTACCTTTCCCAGTCCATGTTTTTGCAAGCCAGTGCATCTCAGGTTAGCAGTCAGGAAAACCAGCCAATAAAACTTACAGGAGGAAGCAGGAGAAAGGGAAGGGGAATTTCCTTAAATGCATTCATCTCGTTTTGCTGTCTCATCAAGTGAAAGGCAAAAGAAAATAGATGAATAGAATAAAAGCTGAATGAAAAATAGAATACAAACATCACTTCAGTTTTAACAGTCCAAAGGAAGTTTAGTAACACAGCTGAAGCAACCTGAGATATATCTGTTTGCTCACAAATCATCTTTAGGTTTTGTACAGACAACAGTTAAATCCTTTGACAGATCGAAAATACCTTTTCTGGTTTTCCCTAGCTGCTTTTCCTTTTCCTGGTATTCATTTTCATCTGCGGAAAAATCCCCAGGGTTTTAGATTTGGTTTTCAGCTTTCAGTCTCCAGAGAGGCTGTTACTTAGCTGCCCATCTCCTCAAATTCACTGTAGGGGGATGAAGCTGATGAGGTTTTGGACTCTCCATCACTGTTGCACTCCCGTGGGCGACCAGGACTGGGAGCTTCTGGGAGCTCCTTGTCAGAGAGCATTTCTTTACTGTTCGACCCTAAGGGATGACAGTCCAGCAAGCTCTGTAGGTGTTTGATGTAGCTTATTGCAGCTCTCAGAGTCTCCACTTTGCTGAGGCGCTTGTCAGCAAATTCCTTGGGCAGGTGCTCTCTCAGGCGTGTGTAGCCCTCATTCACGCAGCGCACCCGCTGCCTTTCCCTCTCGTTCCTCTTTCGAATGAAGGCAGGCTCAAAGGAATAGTCATAGATGCCCACGTAGCCAGGGAATGGGATGTAGGAGATGCGACCTGTGTGCCCGCCATAGGCTTGCTCCCAGTAAGATGGGTCCAGATGGAAGGGAACCCCAAAGGGCTCTCTTAGGGGCACCCCATGGGGATGCACATGGCTGTTAGCCAGGGACATAGCTCCTGGAAATGCAATCCTGTTCAGTAGTCCATCATCATCTTTACTGCTGTCCATGCTTCTTTTTTTATTCCCCACTGGTGGAATGTCAGTTCCCAAATTTGGCTTCCAAATCTTGTATCAGTCCAAGCAAGGAGGAAACATTTGTATAGGTACTCTACCCCACAGGCTGCAATTTCCTCCTGTGGTGTATGAACACTCAGATCTCAAAGCACTGCTAACCATTCATGAGGTCCACTCTGTGCCTGGAAGTCAGCTCTAAGTCTTGTTGTTTTTATAGATGTTGGATACCAGCTAATTTACAGACAGGTTTTGAGGACCATCACTCCACACTTTAAACCCTTCTTTTCCTCTGATCTTCATATTTCAAAAGATAATAAGAGGGTTCCTGTGTATTCCTTTTCTCTCTGCTTGAAATTATGACCATAAGAGCTAATGCCAAACATAAATAATCTTCCAGGCTCTAAACACTTCTCATGTATTGTAATCCACGATATCGTTTGATATAATTGTCTCCACAAGATGGGTAATTTGCAAAGTTTACAGGGATCTTCAAAGTTTTGGCACAACTCCTCCCTCTCAGGAACCAAGGATCTTCTGTCATCTGAAAACTACCCAAAGGCTTTTCACAACGAAATCCAAAAGACAACTGCAAGCTTTGTTGTTTCGGCTGCTCTGGTCTAACTGAAACAGCTTACAAGCTGTTTGCAAACTTATATGGCATGTCTCTAGCTTTCTGGGGAAACTGAGAAATCTTCAAAGGAAAGAGTGCTCTCTTGTGGTTGCAAGTCATGTCAGATCAAGAATGCACACGTGCAAGCGTAAGAGAAAAACTGCCTTCTTCACCCAAAGAGGCTTTTTCAAGAAATGTGAGTTTCACAAATTGAACATGAGGATTTTCAAAAAATCTTCACCATTTTGCATATTTCTTCTTATTGCAGGGAAGTTCTGGTCACCACTATGAGCACCTGTCTCAGATAAACAAAAACAAAGGTGATGCCCTGATTGCCTCCTGTGTAGCTATTACTAGATGTTTACATGGGCATTGGCTTACCTGATGGACCATACACACTGCTTTAATTGGGGAGCTGAAAATCCTTCTTGACTGTGCCAGATCTGTGCTGCGTCCTCCAGTTTGCCAGCAGCTTTGATGAGGAGAAGAGGTGGACAAAAGACAAGGACTTTTGGCAGTTTATAGGGGCATAATGTCCTCATCTGTGCGTTTCCTCTAACTTAACCTGGTTGTGTTGGGATCTCTTTCTGCAGCAACTGAAGGGTCTTTGACATTTCCCCACATTGTGTCCAAGAGCTCCATGGTTATATTTTTTTTCTGAAAACACATCTTCACAGTTAATTGAATTTCTTTTTTTTTTGCCATCAGTTTGGGGAGTTGAATGTTTGGTCTGGGAGAGCTGTGGGAAAGGACAGACATGAAAAAGTACAAGCACATAGACTCCATTAGAACCGTTCTTTTGCTCAAAGTGAAAGTTTCCACCCCGTTCAGCCTTTCATGCCAAACTACCTCAGAAGCGTAACTGAAATAACATCCTCCACTCCGAGAAACACATCTATGTCTCTGCTGAATCAGAAACCAGAAGCAGTCACGTCAGCATTCATTTTCAAGTCAGCCTTTATATCTTTGCTGGCTTATCCTGCAGCTTCAAAAAACAATGATAATCTTCGAAGTATGAAGAACATACAGGCAGACCATTCTAGACAGACATGACTGAGAACAACCCTGGACTATAGTTTATGCCAGGGGCAGGATCAGAATCAAAATGGCTCATAAGACAGGGCAACTGTCCATCTACTTTTGCCTCCATCACCAACATAGCCTAGCAAGAGCTGGTGTTTGAAGCTGAAGGTTTTGTAGTATTACCTAAGAGTTAGCTAATGCATTCCATGAGGGGTTGTGATCTTTTCCAGTCACAAATGAATGTATTTCTAAAACATGTGCCGTAGTTCAGACGGAAGGTATGGGTGTGAGGGAAGAATTACTGGGGAACACCCCATGGTATGCACAACTCATTTCAGATCAAATGGTCATGAGAGCTTTTCTGCCTTTTAAAAAAACCTTGGAAACAGTTGAACAGTCCAGGCTTTTCACTTGCACTACAAACTCTGTTGTCCAGTACAAATGTTTTCAGAAATGAATGCTTATTCATTAAATGCTTAGAAATGAAAATAACTCATTCACTGTAGCACTAAGGGAGACAAGGACTTAGAGGTTTCTTAAAACAAAGAGGATGTCAGCCTCTAGCCAGGTACCTGAAGTAGGAAAATGCCATCTAATTTGTGTCATCATTACACTTAAAATGCTGCTCCCTAGCAGTATTCCTGTGAGGAAATGGAAGCATGCCTCTCAGGGGTCTCAGATGCCAGATCATTTCACAGATCTCCATGACCTTGCCCGAAGACTAGCCATGTTCAAAAGGCAGGGTTACATTTCAGTTCTGTCATGCAAATGCACTATTCCCTGCCACCACACCTCTTTTCTGTTTACTGTAAATGCAGGTCACTGGCACTTCCCAGAGTGTCAGAATTGCACCTGTACTAAACAGACATCTGTTCTTCCTACAGGAAAATCCACACTGTTAAACCTTTAGAGAAATACATGAAGAAAAACTACAGGTAAATGTTACTTACGAATCTGAATGATTGAAGCTGATCTCGTAACAGGTAAATGTTACTTATGAATCTGAATGATTGAAGCTGATCTCGTATCAAATGGACTCTGTAGTCTGGTTTTGTCTGTGTGCAAGAGAAATAAGAATATATGCCACAGGCTTTTGTTGTATCGTTGTTGATGCTCTAATGCCACTTGCTCAGAAAGGGATTTGCCCTTGGGCAGGGAGCCAGCACAAGGCCAATGCACCTTACCATCCCCCCGAAGGTCCCTGTTGAGAGCACAAGCAGATTAAAGCAATGTATCATTCCCATACCGATTTCTGCACAAAGCAGACCCTTCTCAACGTGTCTGCACATGCAGGCTCAGTGAAAGTAGCAGGACTGGCCCACCAAAGTGACAGGCTAATACATATTCCTTTTAATTTTAAGAGTAGGTTAAGACTCTTTCCTCTTCTAAGACAAACCTTTGATCTTATTTCTTACACTGTTTCTCCAATGAACTCCTCTTCACACCTCTGCCTTGATGATGCTTTTACTCCAGAATGCAATATCCTTCATGCTGATACAAAGCAGATGGCTTGGTTTGCTTTCCAGGTGGTACAAACTAGGTGTCATTTACTGTTCTGCAATGACACAAGTTGCACTGTTTATATATATATTGTATGTTTTGCTTTGCTTTGGTTTTGTTTTTGTTTGTTTCTTGTTGTTTTTTGTTTTGTTTGCTTTTTTTGAATACAAAGTTTAAATGGTGATGCTGGAAGATTCCTTACATACTCCACTGGCATTCAAAGAGGTTCCCTTCCTTCTTTCCTTCCTTTTACTTCACCTAATTACATAGCCAAAATGAATAGAAAATATTTCTGACATGCCTAAAAACAAAACATTGAAGCATCTTACTTCCAGATCTAACTTAGTTGTGGTTTTAATTGCATATATCCTAACACAGTATCTACAAGAATGTAACATTTGTACAAAAGAACCCTCAACTCATTCACACTCCCAAAAGAATCATGAATAACACGACTAACACTACACAGTGATTGCTTTGCATTACTTTGAATTACTCAAAGCAACAGATTCTCCTTGACACTGTGTCCCTCTGTGTCTGAAAAGAAAGTCATCCATGGGAATATTGTAGTAGAAACACAAGAGTCAGCTGAGTCCACCTATTTCCTAATAGATGATGTCTCAACTATATTACCTGTGAACACACTATTGAGAGGGAAAAAGAAATTACATCGGGAGTTTAAAAAGAAACCGTCACAACATTGTTCACCACTGTGACCAGCAGGTTGGGGGAAGTGATTATCCCCCTCTGCTCCACTCTGGTGAGACCCCACCTGCAGTACCGCATTCAGCTCCTGGGCTCCCAACACAAGAGGGAGGTGGACCTGCTTGAGTGAGTCCAGAGGAGGCCACAAAGATACTCAGAGGGCTGGAGCACCTCTGCTACAAAAACAGGCTGAGAGTGTTGGGCTTGTTCAGCCTGGAAAAGTCTCCAAGGAGACATTATAGCAGCCTTCCAGTACCTAAAAGGGGGCCTACAAGAAAGATGGAGAGGGACTTTTTTCAAGGGTATGTAGTGATAGGAGAAGGTGGGATGGATTTAAACTGGAAGAGGGTAGATTTAGACTAGATATTAGGAATAAGTTCTTTACTGTGAGGGCTCTGAGTCACTGGAACAAGTTGCCCAGAGAAGCTGTGGGTGCCTCATCCCTGACTTGGTCCTTATGGGGGATTTTAACTACCCCGATATTTGCTGGAAGACTTACACAGCCAGTCATTCACAGTCTAGGAGGTTCCTCCAGTGCATTGATGATAACATCTTAATGCAAATGGTGGACGAACCAACTAGGAGAGGAGCGCTGCTGGATCTGGTACTCACCAACAAGGAGGGTCTGGTTGAAGTAGTGACAGTCGATGGCAGCCTGGGCTGCAGTGACCATGAGATGGTGGAGTTTAGGATCTTGTGTGGGAGGAATAGAATACCTAGCAAGGCCACATTTCTGGATTTCCGAAGGGCAGACTTTGGCCTCTTCAATCAATTGCTAAGGGAAGTATCATGGCAAAGGGTACTAGGTGGTAAAGGGGCTCAAGATAGTTGGTCAGCATTCAAGGACCACTTCTTCAAAGCTCAGGATCAGAGTGTCCCAATGAGTAGGAAGTCAAGTAGGGGAGCCAGGAGACCAGCATGGTTAAACAAGGAACTGCTGGGCAAACTCGTATGGAAAAAGAGAATCTATGGATTATGGAACGAGGGGCTGGCCACTTGAGAGGAATATAGGACAGCTGTTAGAGGATGTAGGGAAACAATTAGGACAGCTAAGGCCTCCTTGGAACTTAATCTGGCAAGTCGGGTCAAGGACAATAGAAAGGGCTTCTTCAAATACATATAGTGAATAAAACTAACACAAGAAGCAGTATAGGCCCACTGCTGAATGAGGTGGGTGCCCTGGAGACAGAGGATGTAAAGAAGGCAGAGGGGTTGAATGCCTTCTTTGCCCCTGTCTTTACTCCTGCAGACTCTCCCCAGGGGACCCAGATTCCTGTAGCCCGAGGAGTCAGGATAAAGGAGGAGTTTGCTTTGGTAGATGAGGATTGGGTTAAGGATCAGTTAAGTAATCTGGACATCTATAAATCGATGGGTCCGGATGGAATACACCCATGGGTGCTGAGGGAGCTGGCAGAGGTCATTGCTGGGCCACTCTCCATCATCTTTGGTAAGTCGTGGGAAACAGGAGAGGTGCCTGGGGATTGGAGGATGGCAAATGTCACGCCGGTCTATAAGAAGGGCAAGAAGGAGGACCCGGGTAATTATAGACCGGTCAGCCTTACCTCCATCCCTGGAAATGTGATGGAACAACTTATTCTTGACACCATATCTAGGCATATCAAGGATGAGGGGGGTCATTAAGAGCGGCCAACATGGCTTTACCAAGGGGAAGTCATGTTTGAGCAGCCTTATAGCCTTCTATGAGCAAGTAACTAGGTGGATGGATGATGGTAGAGCGGTAGATGTGGTTTTTCTTGATTTCAGTAAGGCATTTGATACTGTCTCCCACAGCATCCTCATAGATAAGCTAAGAAAGTGTGGGCTTGATGATCAGGTAGTGAGGTGGATCAAGAACTGGTTGGAAGGAAGAAGTCAGAGAGTTGTGGTCAGTGGGGCAGAATCTAGCTGGAGGTCTGTGACTAGTGGAGTCCCTCAGGGGTCGGTGCTGGGACCAGTGCTGTTTAATATTTTCATCAACGACCTGGATGAGGGAACTGAATGTACCCTCAGCAAGTTTGCTGATGATACTAAACTGGGAGGAGTGGCTGACACACCAGAGGGCTGTGTTGCCATTCAGCGAGACCTGGACAGGCTGGAGAGTTGGGCAGGGAGGAACTTTATGAAATTCAACAAGGGCAAGTGTAGAGTCTTGCATCTGGGGAAGAGCAGCCCCATGTACCAGTACAGGTTGGGGGCTGACCTGCTGGACAGTAGTGAAGGGGAAAGGGACCTGGGCGTCCTGGTGGATAGGAGAATGACCATGAGCCAGCAATGTGCCCTCGTGGCCAAGAAGGCCAATGGCATCCTAGGGTGCATTAGAAAGGGTGTGGTTAGTAGGTCAAGAGAGGTTCTCCTCCCCCTCTACTCTGCCTTGGTGAGGCCACATCTGGAATATTGTGTCCAGTTCTGGGCCCCTCAGTTCAAGAAGGACAGGGACCTGCTGGAGAGAGTCCAGCGCAGAGCCACAAAGATGATTAAGGGAATGGAACATCTGCCTTATGAGGAGAGGCTGAGGGAGCTGGGACTCTTTAGCTTGGAGGAGACTGAGGGGTGACCTCATCAATGTTTACAAATATGTAAAGGGTGAGTGCCAGGATGATGGAGCTAGGTTTTTT